CCTCTGAATCTCCACAGACCCATGCACTTTTGTCACAAGCTGGCAGGGCACATACTTGGCATTAAGAGGATTAATTGGATTACATTTATTAACCAAGGCTTTAGGTGTCATCCTGAGACTGCAYAGTGACATTTATTACACTGAGTAGCCAGTAATTTTTGAGGGCATTCTCTTAAAGATTATTTCACAGCTGGCTTTGGTGTAATTATTCTGTGGTTTGCCAGCTTCCTGCTGTAGGTACATGAAGAAAGATGTATCTCTGTTTTCTTCTTTAAGTAACTACTTACCAGTGTATAAAATTGCATTGTAAAACTACAGTCTGAAAAATTATTTATACTTTCAGTTTTTCATTACAGATTTAAATAGTTATCTAAAGGTTTCTCCTCCCAGCAATTCAACAAATTTTATGTTTATTCCCCAAGATAAATCAGCAGCTGAATTAGTTCACATGTACTACAGCTTCTCTATACAAAACTGGTACCTTCTCATAAAAGTTTTCTTTCTTTGGAGAGCAAATAAAAAACATAAATTTCCAAGCAAAAAAGAAAAAAAAAATTACACAGAATTTTTAAGGTTTTTTGTGAAAACCATAAAATAGGTTAGAGACTGTTTACATCAAGTATAACCCCTTATGAGGTATTTTACACAGTAATATAAATGCCCTCTAATATTCAGTCACTCAGAAATAGTATACCAGTATATCTCCTAGGTACTTAAACAAAACAAGACAAMTATAATGAGTAATTCCAAATCAGAATATGTTAGTGTTATCTGGAAAACTTACTGTGTCTGTGTGAGATACTGTGCTAGATAAAATGAATTCTTAATGCAAACAGACACAGAGAAAAAAAATTACTTGGGAGTATTGGCCCACACTTGGATGTGGGCTGTGCATATTTTCCAAATCCTTACAGAAAAAAAAAAGTAGTGTCTGGAGTTTGTCATGCAGCTCCCACATATTTGCAAGTGAATGAGGACAGTCACTGTTTTGTGCTTTTATTGTGCACATATCTTAGAGTACTGCATGTACCTCCCAAATCCTGTGCTTTTTATTGAAATCCTGCCTGATATTGAAATAAAAAACATGCTGGTTTTTATTCAGTGCTTTGCTAAAAATACTGGTAAAGGCAAATTTTCCAAAGCACCAGAGCAGGCAGGCAGGCTTTTTAAGACACTGACTCTGTAAATTCCTCAAAGGGTTGCTCCATAAGTCACTGCTAAAACCTCCACAGCYTGCAAGACTGAGTCTCAGGGGAGAGCTCACATTTCAAAATATTCTGTTCTAGAAGTGGTGATTTTTACACAACCATCACTAATCTGTAAGCCCATTCCAATTTCATTGATTTTTCAAGGCCCACCCCACTTGRTGATGCAAATGCCACCAGCTTCCCCATGGAATTGTTCTCCACMTCGTGCCAGCACTCATGGAAGTTCCCCCTCAGCCACTGCAAGGCTGGCTTTAAAGCAGACCTTGACTTTTTTCTGTACCCTTGATACAGGACACATTCAGGTTTGCTTTGTTCTTTTTCTCCTCACAGATGATAATGAAGTGCYTAGTAAAAGAGGTTCCATTTTGCTGCAGTTCTGCTGCTGTGTTTCTAATTATGAAAGTCATTTTGTGCCTTGGATAGATGCTGGATAGAATGAAAGTGAAGTATTTTATATTTCCTGTAAGAAAGCCAGGCTCTGCCAGGGTGGCTCACAATCCCAAGCTCCTTTTAGGTTGGTATTTATTGCTCACTTTCCAGTCAAACAGCACAGACAGGCTCTTGTACTAACATTGGTACACAGTGCATTTGAAAAACTACACTTCAATACTGCTGTGATCTATATCCTTACAGAAAAAGTGTTACATATTAAATTCTGTATAAAGTTACCTTTGTTCYTCTCTCTCACTCTCTCCATTTGACAGCACAAATACTTTACATTGCACACAAACCATAAATGTGACTCTGTGTGAAAGGTGCAGTAGTYTTGAGAAATTATGATGTTCTAAACCCTTAATGTAGAACCTGGGACATTCCAGAAGATTACCCTGTAACCCCCTGATTTTTCAATGCTGGAGAAATAAGAAAACCAGAATGGTAAATATCTTTACACTAGACATTTCAGGGCTCTAATAAGAATTATGTTCATAACTAAGCATGGGGTTTTGAGATAACAGTATTCRTATTTGTTTAAATTATTATTGCAAGAGGTTCCCAAGCAAAATACCAATGGGCACAATCATAAATCCTTCAAAAAAAGGACTGATTAAGTGTACTTGCTACTTCTTTTGGCAATAGAAAAATAAAACCTCTGTTGCTCTCTGCAATGCAATTTTCTGATGCCAAAACTGTCTCTCCAAAATCCTTTCAATATGCAAAAAGTTAACCTCTCCTGTCTCCATTAAAATGTGAACAAGTGYATAAAAATATTACAGTGAGTGACTTCAAATCCCAAACACGCTCAGAACTTCACTGAGGACAATACTGTGGGTTTGCCATTTATGCAAGAAAAGTGTTTGCTCAGTTGCTCATAGAATGCCACAGGATTAAACACTGTCACTTCCACAATTAGAAYTGAATTGAAAAATTACCCTTTTATGTTTACTTTGCCCTTTTTTGGCCTTTTTACAGATCTGAAGATCCTGCTATTTTTGAGTTTGATTCTGTTTCYCTTAATGTTATATGAGAGATAAGATCTAGAAGGTAGTGTCATCTTGGGAGAAAGTAAGCTGACATTTATCTTAAAAGATGCGTAAAGGTCAGAAAAACTAGGAGAGAAAAAACTCTAAGAACAATGAAAACTAAAATTAGATGTCCTCTTCTACATGATTCTGAAAGGCCCTGTTCTAAAGAATATCCATGTACTTATCCAGATAAAAAGCTGGAACAAAAAATTACGAGTGAAACCCATTCATTTTATGTAGTTTRGAGAAGGACATTTTTGCTATTCAGCATCAATTATGCTAAGAGATCTGTTTGAATAAATTGTTTGATATGTTCAGCTATCATGGAGAAACTTACCTGCTGAAATTGGGCAGGCATGAGAGAAGAGCTGTGCTCCAGAATATTCCAAAGTCACCCAGAGCACCCTGACTTCTGACCAGAGCTGTGAGGGAGGAGCAGAGCTGCACTTCACCCCTCTGAAAGTGCCAGAGGTGCTTGTATTCAATACCTGCTGTAAAAGGAGCAGGTGCATCTGTAATTCTGTCAGTGTGTCTGTGAGATTGGCAGGGGGAYTAAGATTTCTGAGATGAGGTGTAGGGACTGCTTAGAAATKTACAGGTGCTTACGAAAACCTTATRGATGTCCAGTGTTTGCTGTCACCTGCTGTTTTTGAATGGGTTCAAGCTGGTTGATTGCTGGTTAACTGAAATTAATAAATCAATAAACCACTTATTCTTGATTTAAACCATAGAGCTGAACAGTTTTTCCATGTGAAAATCATTAGGGAATAAACTATGAAGAGGGAAAAAACGCTCTTAYTTCTGATATAAGAATACAAAGACATCAAATGATGGTACCAAAAGACAGATGCAAATAAAAACAGGAGCTGCTTCTCCAAACGATATGTAAAGAAATCTAAGAACCATTTTCCAAAACATGTACTGGATACAAAACAGGTTAAAAATTGATGGAAAGCAACTCATGTGAAGAAAATGGATGTTAAATGTAGTACATCTATCTTCTGAACCACAAACTATTGAATACGCTGAATATATTTATTTTACTGAATGATTACAGGGGAGAAGTAACACTACATGTTTGTGCTAATATTCCAACATTTTTTTCCCCAAGCACTCCCCAGTAGCCACTGGTAGAAAAAGATGGATAGATCTTTGGTCTGGGCAATTGTCTKTTGTTTTCTCTCTACTGCAGGATTTTTTTCTCTATTAAAAACTAGTTCAGGACTATTTCTGCCATGTTGCTTCAGTACTGCATATAAAKCTTTTTGTATGCCACAATAAATACCAAGGACATACTGAATTTTCACAAAACCACAAGCAGCAAACTTCATAAACCAGTATGAGTCAAACTAAATGAAATTCCACTCGTTAGGCTAATGGAGTTCCAAAGTCCCCTCAAAGCCCAGAAACATTGGCACAGAGCACAATTTATGTAACGAGTCTGTGGAAAACCCTTGGAAGTGCTGGACTAAAGCTCTGCTTTTCCCCTACCACAGGAATGATCCACAAAACTGCATAAATCAGTTCTCAAATCAATGAATTTTCATCCAGACAAAACAAAGGAGATGCCCATAAGCTGGCTTCCTTCACTCTCTTGGAAAGCTTTATGMTATCAGCATATGTTAAGAGAGAAGCAACAAATGGCTCTGTTTGCCTAAGAATTTAGGTTAAATGTTTCAACCAAACAGTAAATGAAGGGTCATTCCTTTGTGGAATTGGAAACCATTTGCTTTAAAATGTTCTCACTTTTTTTTTTTTTCTCTCTCTCTCTCTAGGAAATATTTTCATTAGAAATAACAGGGTTGTTTCTTTTTTCAYAGCACAGTTTTCTTCCGAAGATGAATTCTAGAATCACAAAGTAGATATCATATCTAAGAAATCAAGTTTTAGGCCTATAAAAATACTTTTCAWTATTACTCCAAGTTAAATTATGATAACGTCCTAATCTTTCATAAGAAAGATAAGATAACACATAATAGCTCCAATTAYTTTCAAAAGGAAGTATTTTCACAGCAGTTAGGTGATAACACAACACTTTGACAAAATATCTGATGACTCCACTGTTAGAGAGAGCTGATTTCTGGGGAAGGGCATTTAATGAATAAAATATTCTCTAACAGAAAATGGGGATACTTACTGTATTCCAAAGACACATGCTGATGTCAAGACAGTGTGTTCCAGGGAATTCCAAAGATTGAAACAAATTTTACCAGGACAAAATACAGTCACTGGGCTAACATTTTACTGTAGTTAGGGATGATAAGAAATGATCTCACCTTCAGTGCAGGATATGGAGGGTGTGAGGAAGGCAGGAAGGATGGACCTGGACTAGAATTTACTGGCAAACTACCAATCTACTACAGGCTATTTAGAAAAAAAAATCTGGAGACATTGTGTTAAATATCATTTAATGCCAGTATCTTASAAAACAACATTAAAAAGTTTCATAATCTCAATGTAAACATCTTTATTGAATGACATTTACTCATTTTGATTCCTTGCTTCTGCTGTCCTCATKTTCAAGTAGGGTTTACATAACTATTTTCTAGAGAATGTCAATACTGAGATCTCTTTACAAAAATTTCTCAGACTAGCCATTAGCATAATATTCAAGTAAAAATGCTGCATGATGAGTCCCTATCTCTTCAGTTACTAGTTGAGTCCCTAACAGTTGAAAGAGTGATGAATTATCTTACAAAAATAATTTACAAGATTTCCTTTTGTATTTTAAGGAAACTGCAAAATTATTAACTTTGTCTTTTCCAAAAAGAATTCAGACTTTCTAGMCACTTTCTTTACAATTCCATCTGGCTTCTTGGTTTACCTCTTTCTGGAGATTACAGATAGAATTTTTCAGGAGGGAAACCCATAAATCTCCTCCAATGAGAAGAAGTTTTGGCTCTGATCCTGAAAACATAAATTTGTTTCACCCAGCAACAACATATATTCCTCTCTTTGAGTGCCTTAGAGTTAGAGAGCTGATGTTGATGTAATGTTCTCTAGGCAGGCATAGAATCTTTTGTGCATTGCATATTATAAACAAATGTGATAAACAAAAATGTTTTACAGATGAATATTTCAAATTCTTAATTATATCTAATCACCAAATGTGATGTTCAAAAATTATCCCTGAACTCTAATGTAATTTAGGCCAGATACTGAGACTTGTGTATATCTTTTTGCACAGAACTGTGTGCTGATACYAAAATAAGAAGTCAACCTTAGGGCCTTTGGAAAATCCCATCACTTACCCAGGCCTGCATTTCCATTTACCTCCCATCCACTGACCTACATAAATTTGGCAACTTAATCCTTTTTTTAATTTAAGTACTTGAACATTTCACCAAGGTATGATCAGAATAAAAGCAGGGGAAATAAATTATAGAGTGATACTATAATTTAAAAATAGGTACATTTGCTGGTTTACTGAAATTCCTCTCAAGGAAGGCACATTATCAAGTAAACTGTCCTGCAACTAAAATTGTTGTATTGCTGATTCAAARGCAAAGAACATTACACTGTTACAATGTACAATTCATTTTGTCAGCATGACATTACACTTTAATTAAGAGGCAAACACAGTTTACCTCCTCAGCAATTATTTTTTTGTATTTTTTGGATGTCATACACAATAAACATGATTGTGAAAATGATTGTATCAACAAATTATGATTTCTTTCATAAAAGCTTACTAAATYTAAACATTTTCTCCAGTATTTTTAAGAAATTGGCACTTAAGTTATATGCATAATAATGTGCTTTGACTCCATAAAAAGTTTCTTTTAAGTAATAAAAATGAATTTGTCATAGTTCCAAAGTTTCCTGAATAGGCTTAAAATGCATCTCCAGTAGTCTATGCTACTTTAGTGTTAAATAATGAGGTAGCACATTGTTCCAAAATTGTTCTGAATTATGTAAACCGTTTGCTATATGATGTTTGGGCTTCACATTTTGTTTAGAGCTGTTTGGTAAAGCAGTACCTTTTGTCTTTTCTGGCTTCCTGGATTTGTTCTTCTTTTGTAGAGGTTTACTACTATAATTTTTCCTCTTATCTTTTGCTTTTTCCTCTTCCTCTTCTTCTTCCTCCTCACCTTCATCTTCTTCTCCCTCATCCTCTTCCTCTTCTACTACATTCCCTTCCTCCTCTTCTCCTTGTCCCCCCTCTCCCTCTTCTTCTTCTTCTTCCTCACCCTCTTCCTCTTTTTCTTCTTTCCCCTCTTCCTCTTCTCCCTCTTCCTCTTCTTCTTCCCCCTCTCCCTCTTCTCCCTCTTCCTCTTCCTCTTCTTCTTCTTCCTCCTCATCCTCTTTCCCTTCTTCTTCCTCTCCTCCTTCCTCTTCTTCCTGCCCTCCCTCTTCTCCCTCCTCTACCTCTTCTTCTTCCCCTCCTTCTTCCTCATCTCCCTCTTCTTCCACTCCTTCTTCCTCTTCACCTTCCTCTTCTTCTTCCCCTCCCTCTTCTCCCTCATCTCCTCCAACACTCTCTTCTTCCTCCCCTAGTCCCTCATCTTCTTCCACTCCTTCTCCCTCTTCATCTTCCCCTTCCTCTTCATTTTCCCCCTCCTCTTCTTCCTTTTCATCTTCTTCCTCCYCYTCCCCTTCTGCTTCTGCCTCTATTTCTTCTTTCTCCTCATCTTCTCTTTCCTCTTCCACTTCATCCTCTCCCTCTTCTCCTTCTTCCACTCCATCCTCCTGCACTTCCTTAGTTTTCATMTTTGCATCTTCTTCCTGTTCTTCTTCAGATACCTCTTCTTCCCTCTCTGCCAATGATTCTCTAAACTCCTCCTCTTCTCCCTCTTTGTCATTTTCATTCCCCCTTTCTTTGTTTTCTTCTTCATCTTCCTTTTCATCTTCTCCTTCCTCTTCTGCCTCTACCTCTTTTTCTTCCTCTCCCTCTCTATCTTCCCCTCCTTCCTCACTCTCATCTCTTCCCTCACTTTTAATCTGTTCCTCCTTTGCTTTCTCAGTGCCTTCCTCTTTCTCATGCTCCTCYTCCATATCCTCCTTTTCTCCCTCACTCTCCATTTCTTCTTCCTCCATTAACCTGCCTTGCTCATCTCCTTCATCTTTGCCATCTTTCTGATCAGCCTCCTCAGYCTCCTCTGCATCCTCATTCTCACTGTCTCTTTCAGCCTGTGATTTCTCTCTTTCATTTTCTTCCTCATTATCTTTTTCCTCTTCATCCTTTTCTACCGAAACTTCATCTCCATCTTTTTTAACATCACTCTCTTCTTCTTCTTCTTCCTCCCCTAGTTTACCTTCACTGTCAATTGTTTCATCTAGTTTTTCTTTYACACTTTCACCCTKTTCACTGCCTTCACTCTCCTGCTCCTGATCMGATTCCTCCTCATTTTTTATTTCTAATGACCTGTCTTCAGCCWTTTCACTGYCTTCACTCTCCTGCTCCTSATSAGATTCCTCCTCATTCTTAATTTCTAATGGCCGGTCTTCATCAGATTTAGCATCAGAGCTTGTTTCTTCCTCCTTCAGGCTTTTTAAATCAGTCTGTTCTACACATTCTTTCTCATTGTTTGTARCTTGCATCTCCTCAATCTCACTGTCTTTTTCTAAGTCCAAATGTGTCACTTTTTCAACTGTTCTACTTGCCCTGTGGACAACTCTTTGTTCATAGTAAACCTCTTTCTTAAGTATATATTTCTCGAGATCATTAGTACTTTCCTCAGTTGAAGAAGATGATGAAGTTACAGATATTTGTTTCAAAAACTGATGCTTTTTTTTAAGCCCCCTCTGTTCTGCACTACTTTCTTCTCCTGTGACACATATTCTTTCACACTTGTCAGATTTTTCAACATCATCCTTTATTTTGCTTTGACTTTCTGTTGTTTCTTGATTCCCTTGCTGTTTAACAGCACTGTGTTTTTGCACAATTAAAGAATCAGTCTGGGGCTGATCCCTGGGAGCAGAAGGAAGTACCTCTATTTTAAGGGCTTGCTTCGATTTAACAGCTTTTGGCTTTTTATTGGAAGAATTTATTTTTTCAGTCAGAATTTGATTTTCAGTGGGAAGATTATAAGTTGCATCCTCTCTGAAAAATTCAGGATTTTCCACATGTTCTTTTTCCCTTTTCAATAATATGCTTTTGTCCCTAATTTCTTGAACACCACTTTTCAAAGTACTATCAGTGTGTCTATGTTCAGATTTGCCTTTCTTTGTACTTTTTTTGGCCTCAGGCTTCCCTACAAAGGCACTACTCTTTCTTAAATCTTGTCCAGGTGACTCTGAAAGTGAGGACTGCTTTTGTAAAGACCCAKATGTTAGTTTTGAGCCCTCCTTCGTGAAATGAGAATCCCTGTTTTTCAGCCCACCCTTACCATCTCTTTTCAGGTTCACATTTTTATTGTTCTTCTATTCCACACGAGGAGCAGAAAATTAAAAAGAAAGAAAAAAAAAGCATTAAAGACAAATGGCAGCGAAAGAAAAAGGTTACAAAAGCGTCTGAACAAGAAAAGAAGCAATTTGTGGAAGGGGATTAGGAGACAGCATAAAAAGTAGAATATTTCACRTGAAATGAATTTACAGGTGCACATGTCAGAAGAAGGTAGTGTTCTGTTAATGATCAGTGTAGTGCTACACTTTCCTCACTATCCAAGAGAATGCAGTAAGAATTGTGCAGCCAGTATGACATCCCATAAACCAGGGCAGGTGCACTGCATGAGGATGTGCAAGCAGAAGGAAATTAGTACATTCTCTTACACCTTCCTCATTTGGAAATCTTCTTATGCACTCACTGTTATGCCCTTTCTAAGAAGTTTGAAAATCTTCTGTGTTTCTGCTTTAAATTTTACACTTATTTCACAAATTCTGCAGAACAACTTTTAAAATCTAAAAGAAAATTTCAGTGAAATATAGCAAAATGCTGAAAAGCTGGGAATGCTTTAGGAGTGAAATAGGAAGGTAATACGGAGTATTTTAATTTCATAATTAAAACCAGTATTATTGCTTTTAAATATGCTCCACGGTAAATGTCTTTACACTGCATCCCCAAATATTTTCTTATCAGCAAGTTAGTAGAAAGGTATGTTATCACATGATGTTACAATGTGTATATGATWGCCTCTTGCTCCTTAAACTGGTGAAATCTTCTACACTAATCTCAAACTACACTGGATATGTGGTGTTCTACATGCCTGCCCAAATTCTSTTTCACTTCAGTCAGCTTCTTAGAATTTTAGGTCATGGATAATCAGAACATTAGCAAGAGGAGGTCTATAAAATTTGCCTGGCTTTTTTAAAATTCAAAGCAAAATAATGAAATATAATACAAAAATAGCAGCWTTTTCAAACATCAGTATAAGTATACCAATATATAATCAGTTACAGTACCTTCTGTTTTTGGAGTGGTGATAATTTTAAGGACCAGTCACCRGGATTCAACTTCATTGCATGTGTCTGCAAAATATAAGACCTCTATTAAAAAATAAATATAGTTAATAGGGAGAGCAGCATCAAAGCCCAGTTCTACTAAACAGAGYTATTTTATGAACATTTTAATACTATTGCACTATCAGGGTGAGACAAACCTGTATGATTATTAATGTTTGGAAAGGTGTACAAGCAATAAGGTGAACATGGATTGTAAATGAAAGAAATATGTAGGAACAAGCTGGGGAATCATCAAATAATCAAAATGTCTGGATTTTGGTCTTCTCTTTAATATRGTCCACTTGTACTAAAAAAAACTTCTCAAAACAGGAAAAGATGATCTTCTGCTYCATTTCCTGCAATTCTGTCTTGGAAATCTTCAAGAAAATCAAAGTCAGAGACAGAGATCACCATGTGGTATCCAGCATCGTTTTCCTTTTCTTCCTGATTTCCAGAGCTAAAGGGGAGGAGACACTGCACTACTTGGACAGCTTCAATCTCCTATCACAATATTAATTAATAGGAAATTAATTAATTCCTATTAATTAATTAATAGTAAAATTAAAATGAATTTTAGCATGCCCATTTAACAATGTGTCAGTACTTCTTGGTGTCACAAACAACGTTTTGGGCCAGTCAGGAATTCTGTATTAGAACCYGAAACACAATTTAGCTTCTTCCATCTTCCCCTGGATAAAAATCACTGAATTACAGATTCATTATTGGAATACATTACCAWATTTAGGATGTCAGTTGTATCTCCAAGGTTTCTGTCAATATTTTCATTATCTGAATCTTGTTCTGTAGGGACTTCATCAGGTTTATCTTTTTGATGATTATTTTCTACAAGGTAAAATAAGGGGAAATAAACAAACGTCATAGGAACAAGCACTATGTAGCAAACAGAACACCTCAGTCTTATAAAATAGAGATTATTTCTATTTTACTGACATGGAACTGAATTTAGAAGTTTTTTTTCTTTCATTCAAGCCTCCTCTAAACCTTTCAATTTGTTTTGCCAACATGAGTAAGTGTGAGGCAATTTTTTGTCTGTATTTCTCAGCTTTCAGGTCTGTATGCTGCCAGACCCTCCTAATGTAAGAGTGAACCTAAACCTTCTTTCATGCTCAAACAGAGCATTTGTTTATGAATTATGAGAGTCAAACGATTCTTATCAGAAAACAGCCACAAAAAGTGGGGACACTTCACCTTTTTCATGGTCTCTATCCTTCACAGATGCAGATTTAGGAAGACTTGTTGAAGAAAAGCAGAATGGGCTGGTGCTGCTCATCACAGGCAAGGAAGATTTTAAGAAGCTTTTCCCCACTGGAGGCAGAGTTTGTGCCATTCGAACAAACTGTTCTGGTGACCTTTCCTTTRGAGGATTAAAAACAATAAATTGAGAGAAAGGGTAGAAATACAAAATGTAAGCAACCTCTCATATGTAGAAGTGGCATTTAATTTTAGCTGATGATACAAGGTTGTAGCTTAATAAGCAGAAACAAATACCTTTAAAATTTAATTAACTACAGTCTTTAAAAGTGGGCAGGTACACAGTGGTAGTTTTAAGATMATTTCTATACAATGATTTCAAGCAATCCTAAAATATAAAGAAAAATAACTTTTTWAAAATATATTAAATTAAAAACTWGTCTCTCAAATAACATCAAGGTATTTAATCAGCAACATCAATAAGTTTTTACAGAATGAATTCAGGTTTTGGTAGAGTCAGTTTCAGACAATGAACCAACTCATTGTGCTTTTAAAGGCAATCACATCAAATGTGTAGTGGAAATAAAAGAGCAGAAAGTAATATTTTAMGTAGCTACATCTATGTTCTCCTTTKATATTTTATAAACTATGAAGTTGTTTAATATATTCAGAGGGAACAGCAAAAGAGTCAGGCCGTTACTATTTTTTAAAAAGTATTTCTAACACAGTTCACAAAATGCAAAGGAACAGGTTTTGCATTTTAGAACAAAAAAATTGCAAACTCAATTTGAATCTCTTTCACAGAAATAAATAAGAAACATCTGACCAATCCCTATTTTTTCCCCCCAGCCTCAGTTTTTGGGAGTAAGGTAAAAATACATTTTTCATACATTAAAATTAAACACTTACTTTAAKAAGATATATGTATCTGCTTGGTAAACACTGTGATTGTAGCTTTARAAGAGAAGTATGGCAGTTCTAACCAGCTCTGAACTTACCCTCTCTCGACGTCGTATTCGTGCTGCTGATAATTGCAAAGTGTTTGCTARTACAAAGTCCCCACTTGTTTTAGGGATAGTAGCAGTCCAACGAGGCTCAAATAAATCTTCCAAGATTACTTCAGATCCTTTAGGTCTTGGAGCAGCAAAAACCAGCATGTGACAACCACCACAAGCAACCTATGGATCAAAAAAAGATCTGATTACTTCATTTGCAAGTATCAAGGATGTTATTTGCTTACAACCATCTCTAGGGGCTTAAATTATGAGAAAAAAAATAGTAAGTATATATCAAATGGCTTCAAATTTAGTTCCTAATTGCACTAACAAGATAAAATTACTTAATTATGTTAATAAATGACTACTGATCTAGGTTCACTTCTTCGTAAATAAAATATATTTGTATTGAACAGAACAAAAAACAGGTCTGTCAAAATTTTTATACTGAAGGTAGAGATATTTCCATTGACTTTCATGAGATTTTAGCTAATTATTTTTATAAAAGTCAAATGAGGGCAATACTGATAGTTTCAGGGACTCAAACCTAAACATTTTATCACAAAATCTACAAAATGTAATGCAAATCCTACACCCTCCAACAGACACAGTATTAATACATAAAGATCAGAGGTTGCACATTTTAAAAGGTTTAWAACAATCACTGCTTCAATAAAACTTCCTTCACTTCTAATTCCAATAAACAAACAGAAGTGATCAATAGACTTTTGTCCCAAATGTTGTTCAATCCTGAGTCATATTAGCATTTTTTATGCTGATAATTCTGTGACATTTGTTTCTTCTATACCTCAAAAAGCAGATGAAAAAGCTTCCCTTACACAATTCTCAAAAGAAAAGACTATTCCTCCTTTCTTGTCCAGTTTGGATTAAAAAAACCCAACACTTCAAATTTTCTTAAGGTTTAAAAAATATCCCTCTGTACAAAAATTTTCAAAATTGAAAGGATGACACTCTGGTGTTTATAGAAAAGATGCAAATTTCCCYATACTTCCAACCATCTAAGAGCAATAAATAATTAAATTTATAAGCTACCACAGCTCTATWGACCAAAACACCTTATCACAGGAGTAAAACCCTAAAAAGCAATCTGTATGTGTAGTCCAAGTCAAAGACATTCTAAACTAAATGAACACGGTGCTAAGCATGTATAATTTCCATTTTCCTTCAGTTATCCATTAATTAATTGTTATAGAAAGAAAAATTCTATAATTATTTCAGCTCTCATTAAGAATGTGTTTCATTAAAAGATAAATATTTTGATGTCTGAGAAAAACGAACAAAAGTTTTACCAAAAGGACCGTGAACTTCAAGAAATTATAACACAGGGTGGGATCAAACAGATTTGTAAAASTCTCTTCTCCAAATCCTAACTTGCCATGTCGTCCATCTCCAAAAGTAAACATGAGACCATTCTCTGCATGTGGGAATAGAAAGGATGTTAAAACAAAAATTCCATACAAAATCAGGACAGAACCATTACAAACAAAGTAATGGGCTATGAAAGAAAGGAATATTTCCCTTCCAAAATCAAAACCTGAACAATTATTTTTAGATSTTCAACAGATGAATATGATTAAAAAATATGCATGTTTTCAGACAACGTACTGTCTGAGATGTTAGTCTAGACAATTTGTAAAAAAAAAACACCGCAACAAAATAATAAGATTTTAACTGTAAAGAAAAACAAAGGCTTCTAAACAGGAATATGTGTTAGCAAGGCATGACTAGGAGGTAATAATTCCCCTGGAGATTCCGAGTTATGCATGGCATGGCTGTGAGTCAGAAATTCTTATCAAATCCAGCTTTCTCACTGACYCATTTCACCTTTAGACCCAGTAATGGATAYGTCTGCTACTGCTCATCCTACAAGRAAAGCTTTTACAATATCATTGAGGRTTGCTAGAAGTGGTTCCAGAGYTTTGCACTCCCATACCTGCTATCACAGCAGTGTGGTTTTCCCCAGATGCAATGTTACATATTTTATGCCTCTTCARGTGTTTCACAGACTTGGGTACTGAACTTTCAAACACAAAAGTTCCATGTCCCAGCTGCCCATACTGTCCAAGTCCAAAAGTATAAACATCTGTCTCTGAAATTATACAGGCAAAGTTAACAACAATTATGCTGATACATATATAATATAAATAGATTATATTTATTTATATATTATACTTTCTATTAGCCAAATGGAAGGCCACTGACATAAATATAATAAAAAGCAATGTTTAATCAATTAAAAACTTACCAACTAATTAATTACATTTATCAATTAATAACATACAGTAAAATTTTAAAAAGTAATTGAAGCACTAAAGTATAGATAGCAAAATTTAAAAAAAAACCTCAGAAACTGAAGCACTAAAGTATAAACAGAAAATAATTTTAAATGGTTCAATACACCATATATTTTCTAACATAAATGCAAAATAATCCACTGATCATATGTACACAGTTAACAAAAAATGAATGGGAATTCACAGACTACAATCAATTCAACACCACAATGTTTGCGTGTATATATATATATATATATATTTTCACAAAAGCCTCATTGTAGTTTCTCATTACCACCATGCACATTGTATGATCCTAAATTTAACAGACAAAACCTCTTTAAACCAGTCCTAATTTGTATGTAAGAAGAGACTGGAACAGTAACAGGGTAAGTTTCAGTATTCTGCTCAGCTACCAAATCAACCCTGCAATAAATACAGAGAACGCTATAATTGTATTATCTTGTGACAGAATAATCATCTTTCCACATTTATATTTTGTCTGTTTAATGGACTGTGTGTGCCAGGAAAAAGAATAAGAGCTTCTCCACAGCAATAAAGATTCTTGGTGTGTCCGTCCCTGGCACTCCATCACAACGAGGGAAGATTGTAAAGTTTGGAAATCTTGATGAGGTCATGCTTGAACAGAGAAGTTTTTTGGGAAAAAAAAAAAAAAGTCTTCCTAGAATTTGATTCCCTGGCCTTTTTTCTTTTGTATGTAGGSAACAAAGGAAAAGTGTGAGAAATTCTACTTAAAGTTCTTGAAAAATTATTATGAAAAAATGGGAAAGATTGTGAAGGATAAAATATACTCCATATAAGATAAAAAGAACTTTCCCATTTCAAAGGAACCATGACGAAATTGTGTAACACTACATATGGAAATGTTCTTTCTAGAAAAGATCTTGCCGTTTCTGTACCTTTTAAATTTTTCCATACTAAGATATCATGARCTCATACTATTAAAAAAAAAACCCAACAGTCTCTCTCTCTCTCTCTCTCATTTTTTTTTAATTCTAGATAAAAAATATTGAGTAAACCTGATTTCTAACTAAATGTAATAGTAAAGCTCCCTCTGCTGGAAATTTTAGTGCAAGAAAGCAATAATTTCTCAGGAGATTTAAAAAGTAAAACAAGAAGAATTTTCCTCTGATATTTASACTTTCTGCATAGGAATCAAGAAACTGCACCTGAAAGACAAGAGCTTTCTCTAAGCAAACAAAGACTCATCTTCATTTTAGTAAACTGGCTTCTCAGGATGACTGATTCCATAAATTCTGTCTAGAACTACTGCATTTGTTTTRACAGTTCTTTGGAAACATGGCTTTATCTGATGGACATAATCATTCTGCATGAACTTTGAGGTTTTTTTTCTTTAATCTTAGCATGAAACATGCAATGTCTTCTGCATTTTTGTTTTTTTTTTTAACTCAGATTTTTACCCAAGTTACTCTATTCAGGTTTTTACCCAAGTTACTCTACTCCCATTTCTACCCGAGTCACTCTACTCTGATTTCTACCCAAGTTACTCTACTCAGCTTTTTTACCCGAATTACTCTACTCGGATTTTTACCCTAGTTACTCTACTCCCATTTCAACCCGAGTTACTCTACTCCGGTTTTTTTACCCGAGTTACTCTACTTGGATTTTTACCCGAGTTATTCTGCTCCCATTTTTACCCGAGTTACTCTACTCCCATTTCTACCCGAGTTACTCTACTTGGATTTATATCCGAATTACTCTACTCCCATTTTTACCCGAGTAACTCTACTCTTTTTTTTTTTTTTACCCGAGTCACTCTACTCCAATTTTAACCCGAGTTACTCGGATTTTTATCCGAGTTACTCTACTTGGATTTTCTACCAAAGTAACTCTACTCAGATTTTACCCGAGTTACTCTACTCAGTTTTTACCCGAATTACTCTACTCCCATTTCTACCCGAGTTACTCTACTCCCATTTCTACCCGACTCACTCTTCTCCCATTTTTACCCGAATTTCTCTACTTGGATTTTTACCCGAGTTCCTCTAGCCCCATTTTTACCCGAGTTACTATCTAAATAATCCTATACAGTCTGATTTGTGAGTTCTGCCGGGAAAAGGTAGAGCTTTTACATTCTTTTTGTCCTCTTTTAAATGGGTGCCTTGGCTTTCTTTTCTTTTTAAAAGACCTTGAGACGGAGGATGAAAAATCCAACGTTTTACATACTAATACCCTAAYGTTCTTATGTCAAACATTCTATTCTCAAAGGTCTGCTTCACTTTTTTCCTTTGAAGAGTTATCTTTGCTTTCCTTCCTTCCAGAGAATGAAAGGAAGTCATATATCCTTCTATAGAAAAAATTTATTCCCAGAGGATCTGTCATCATCTGAAAAAAAGGAAGATATTAAGGCCACTCCAAATCATCAGTTTCTTCTCCAGTTTCTAGATTCACAGTTACTATTCTTCTACCTTTTAAAACACCTTATTGCCAAAAGTACACAAATCGTGATTTCTGCTCTCCTGTATTTCATTTGAAAATGATGACACCAACAGCTTTCATTTGCAGCAGGAAGTATCTGCACGCATTGGGGGTACTTGGTGGGTTTTTTTTCAGTCTCTGAGAGAACAAATCTGGAATGAGGATAGGATCTTCTTGGACTGGCTGACTGAGTGCCATGAAATGAATAGCTGTGTGCTGTCAACCCTCCACATGATCGAATTTTTAAATGCAATTCTGTTTATTGTCTAGAACAACAGCAAATATTAAAGGGAGAGATAACAATAGAGCTTGTAAAGAAGATGGTTTCCAGTATCATCAGCATTTCTAAAACCAGTCTTTAAAAACATGGGKTTTTTTTCTAAATCATTGCTTTCAACAATCTAATTACTACTCTCCTGGAAAAATAATTGAGTTTCCCCTTTTTGGAATTTCAGAGCAAAAAAACCCCCAAAGTTATTTTAATATGTACTTTCTACCTTTTACTCTGATACTTGTTGGACAGATTCCAAACAGTACCTTGATTTAATAACYCAGACAACAGTGGTTCTTACCATACATAATTGCCAGTAGAATAGATAACAATCATAAAAAAGAAATCAAATGAAGTGCTTTGGAATAGACTAATTATACATGAGAGTCAGGAAGAAACTTGCCTTGTACTCTGTAAGATAACCAAATTATACTTTCTTCTAATTTGATAAACCCTAAGTAGAAATGATGTCAAGAAATTAGCCAAGATGTGCAACAGTTTCTCCATATGACATTTTCTCCTGTGCTACTGCTATGTTAAATGAGATAGATGAAGCAGRGGAATATTCAATAGTCATATACTCAATTCTTGTTTCTTGGGACTGAAATGTCACATCCTTAAAAACTGCAAAGACCCTGAAAGGATGAAAACCACATCAATATRTATTGTGCTACTAAGGGCAAGCAGCACCCATTTTCATGGAAGATGACACATGAAATTTAGAATTTCTTCAAATTTGTATGGCTTTCTTGATTTATGAAAATGAASTTAAAAGAGGTGTAAATGTTTCAGYTCCTCTTTTGAGATATATCATCAGAATTCTCAATTTCTGGTCACACCACTTTACCTCAAGATGCAATTCAGGACTGATTTCAAGTGAAATTTCTGATTCAAAGCCAATAATGTATATATGTCACACCCACTTAAAATTATTAGTATCTGTATCTATCTCTTTTCACTTTTTTTTCATAAATTTTGCTTTGAGTCAGAACATTTTCTCTATGTCAGAACTTCTAATTATCTTTCATTTAASATATTATTTCCACTATCCTCTACTCTTTCATTCCAAGTGTCTTAGTCACAAGTTCATAACTGTAACCTTTCTAATAACAGCTGAATCACATTAAGAAAAAGCATCTATTTGACTTTTCAGTCTTATCAAAACTATTCATCTTTAGGAAATRTATTTTGTTGAGGTTTTCCTCTTTTTATGACTCAACTAGATCATCTRGCAATCAACACTTTGATCATCAGCTGCCACCTCAGCCAGCACTGAATTTCTTTTTTATCTTCTCCTACAAAATCTATTTCTATAAGCAAGTCACTCTTACATACATACATACTTATTAGGGTATTGTCTTCTCTGCATTTTTTTTTCTGTGGCATTTATATTTGCCTCTGTTCTAGCTCTTGTACAGGTATCACTAAAATGATGATGGAATCAAGGTCTGGATCTTTCTTCTAAATCTCTATAACAGTCAATTAGTTTTAATGTTTTTTTTTATCACATGAAATGCCATTAAAATTAAATATCTATTGKTTKAATTCAGATTTATGTTWMAAAAAWWAWWAAWWA